CCTTTTTTCTTACTTATACTTATGTTTTCTAAATGCTTCATAAATATTTTAATTTAAAAAGAATTTCACATAGCATTGGAAGATCAGCTAATAATGGATTTCATTATGTCAAGTCAAGAACAATGGTTTCAGAGGCTTAAAGATCAATAGCAACAACTCAATCACTTTGAAATTAAAGAGACTTGACTATAATAAATTTGCTTTTGCATTCTAATTTGTAACTATGGAAAACTGTTTTTCTATTAAAATGGAATCTGTTTTATTCTACAGAAGCAGTGAAGGGTTTTGTTAATCATAATCAAAGTTTTGTGATTAGCACCCCAGTGCTGTGAGAAAAAGCATCAAGTCAAAGCAAGAGCTGGGAAAGAATCAAATGCAAAGACAATGAAAGGCTACTAAATAGCCTACCAGTACTAGCATAATCACTGTCCCCAGAGCCATCATCATCAAACATTTACTGAGTGCATGTCAAGCATTTTCATGCATATCATTTAATCCTCATTAACATCTGACATAGGTTGGTACAATCAGTTATAACTGCCATTTTTAATGGAAAGAAAACAGGTTCAGAGTGGTTAAATTCTGTGGTCATATACCTCTAGTAAGAGTGAAAAAAAAAAAACAAATTCTGAACCAAAGTCTAACTTCAGAACCCATGCTCTTAAACTCCAGGCAATACAGCTACGCTAACCGTGTAACATTATCCAGATGATCTTCTACTGAGGGCACTATTAGGAAATATGGCCAGACAGCTGGCATAAAATGAGACTTTGCCAGGATATAAGCTCACCCCATCTATAGCTCACAATTGTGAAACTCTGATTTGACATCAAGAGAGAAAAGAAAGAAGGGAAAATAGCAAATATTACTTGAGCTTAGTTTTCCTTACAATGAAGAGCTGAGAAGAAATATAAAAATAAGATCTTTGATACAATCACTGATATGATGACTTAGAAAATCTACTCAAAAATTCCACTGAACACGCACTTATAAAGTTACTAAAAGTCTCAGAGAATTTATGTATCAATCAACTCTATGTAATCCAAAAAACAAACTATATCAGAAAAAAGTTATCAGAAATGTATTGGTGCCTAAAAATATGTGTTAAAGAAAAATTTAATGTGGAAGAGTAATCATAAAAACATTTGAAGACAAACACCCAAATGTATGGGTTTCAATAACACATTCCATTATAAAGTCTTTGTGTCAAAAACAGCAGCATCAGTAGGCCTGAGGCTGACTGAGCAAGGCTTCAATCCATGAATGAGGTACTGAAATTCTGATCCACTTTGAAACAGTTAACACAAGCTTGGTAAAGAAGATAAGACAAACACATCAAGTTAAAATATTTAACATAATATAATGCTGAAGTTATGAAATTTCAATAAAGATAAAAGCTAATTACTAATGAGCATAGTTCCTAATATATCACTAAAGTGTTGGTATCTAAAAAGTAACAATCAGAGACCAAGAAAAAAAAAGACAAGTATGTGTGGCAGTTGGAACACTAAAATTTTTTTTTATATTCCTGTCCCCCAAGAGGACAAAACAAGACTAACAATCCTAGCATCATCCCAAACAAGAACCCTACAACAAACACCTGGGTATGACTGAAATCTGTATCCAGGGTCCTCACAAAGAAATTTCTACTCCATTAGACCAAACTGATGCTGATGTAGAAAGGTCCATGGAATAGGGCTTTGAACATCCCTGCCCTAGAGCCGTGGTTCTCACACTTCAGCACCATCAGAATCCCCTGGTGGGCTTGTGTAAACAGTTTGCTGGGCCCCACTCCCCAAGTTTCTGACTCAGTAGGTTTGGGGTGAAGCCTGAGAACAAGCAACCCGTAACAAGTGATGCTTGTCACTTTGAGACCACTTTGAGAACCACTGCCCGGAAAAAATTAAAAGCATGGTACCTAAAATGAATTCCTCTACCCACTTAAAATACTTTTTAAAAAACAAAGGTGAAATATAAATTCCTTAGAATCAGCCTATATTTAAAAAAATGGCCTCAGTTTTAAGACCTAAGAACAGTTTTAAGTCCTATATTGTTTATAAAGCAATGTGCATATATTAGAGACCATTTAGAAAACAAATTATAAAGAACAAAATGAAAATCATCTGTACACTCACTTCTCAGGGAAAATCACTACTAACATTTTGGTATATACCCTTCTAGCTTTTTTCCCCTATGCAAGGTATATGTCTGTACATTTTATTTTTTGTATAAAGTATAATATCACAGAATTATTTTTTAATTATTTAATATAGTATAAGAATTTTCCAAAGTCATTGAATAAGATCTGAAGTATGACTTTTTAAAAAATGGAAAAAAAGTTAGAATTCTTGCTTAAAAGTACTTTTACAAAATAAAAATTCAAGCAGGCTTCTCTTTGCACAGTACTGTGCTAAATAAAGCACATGCATATTGTAACTATGTCCTCAGTACAGGATCCACAATGAGCGTTGTAACTGTGCAAAGCAAGGACATGGTCCTAATACGCATGAATTTCAGTGCCATGCAAAGCAGTAACTAACACAATTAAGGTCCATGATGAAGATCCTCCCCCATCAAGAAAAGATATTTACTACATATTGTGTTTTAACAAAATGAAAGTGAGTGATATACATATAAGGGCTCACCCAAAAAAATAACAAGACAAAATTTTTGCATACCAGTATCTGAAGAAGTGTTTCTATATATTGAGGACTGCATACGAAACTAACTTGTCACAAAATATATACCAACGACCTGGAACCTAAGTCTGTGCTTGTAAAATCAGATACAATAACACATAATTTCTGTAAATATTTAAATAATGGAGTTGTTCACTTATAAAAGGTTAGAGTTTATGTTTTAAAGATCTACAACACATTTTAAAATAAACATTCTGCAATCACAAAGTTTTTTGTTAAATAACCAATGCATAATCAATATCTTCTTACTTCTGATATGCACAAATATACTACAGCTAGAGAAGAATAGCTTTTTATAGAAAAAAAAGATTAAATGTCAACATAAAAATTTGCTGAGTTTTGTAGGTCAATTCATATAATTCAATCTAATATTTCCAAAAAGAGAAGAAACAGGTAGTAAAAAATACACTGATAATTAACTTTAGGCTAATCATATCATTAACATGAAAGAAATTATCACTCAATTGCCCTATGTCATAAAGACTCAGAACTTGAATTTTACCCTATCTTCTCTAAAACATTAAATGTGTAATTTCTCCACATATTTATATTATATAAATAATGACAGTATACAAAGGTCTGTCTGGGAAAAGTCCAGCCATTATTAATATAATGAGAACAGTTTGCACAATATTGGATGTAACTTGGCAGCCAAGGAGAATGGATTGGAATGCACATGTGTGAACAATGATGACCTCACCGTACTAATCACAGGGGCGGTAGATGTACTTGAGTGAGCATGTGTACTGTGTGGTCATTGCATTCAAAATGATTGCATGAGTACTGCAATGAATATGCATTAAATTTTTTGTTAAGCCTAAACATTCCTCCCTGGAAACTATTCAGATGATTCAGAAGGCTATAGCTATGGACAACTGGTGATTGGCAGCTTCATCATGACAATGCACCCACTCATGCATCACGTCTTGTGTGGAGTTTTTTGGAGAAACACCAAATCACCCAGGTGACTCAGGCCCTCTACAACCCAGATTTGGTACCCTGAGACTTCTTTTCCCAAAACTAAAACCACCTTTGAAAGGGAAGAGATTTCAGACCATATATGAGACTCAGGAAAATACAACAGGGCAGCTGATGGCAATTAGAGAACTGTGTGAGGTTCCAAGGTACCCTCTTTGAAGAGGACTGAGGCATCACTGTCCTATGTACAATATTTCTTATATCTCATACCTTCTTTAGTAAATGTCTTGATTTTTCATATTACATGGCTGGATGCCTTCTGGACAGCCCTTATATACATTAATTATATTGAAACAAAACCAAACTAATTAACTCATTAAACAAAGCCAAACTGATAGTGAATATTCACTTTATCAATTAATCAACATTGCTTATTAGGCACTATAAAAAACAGTCTAAGCAGGTATTTTACAACTTAAGTTTAGTAAAAATGGAATTTACCATTTGTGCTATGAATTTTATAATTCCATTTTACACTAAGAAAATGCCTAGAAAAAAATTTGTAATGACAGTTAAATGGATAATAAGCTCTATTTCATGTATCAAATATCATGTCATTTCTAACAAGTATTGAAGTATTGAAAATATACATCAGTAAATACTTCTATTCAAGTTTTTGTCAAGCAGAGAAATAAAATCACAGATTTCTATAACAATCCATCTTAATTCAAGAAAAAAAGATTCTATTAGGCAAAAACATCTTTAGTAACATGTATGTTTATTTCTGCTTGTTGGGTATATACTTAAATACCTATTATAATTAGGCTGAGAAATGATCACATACAATGAGGAAAAGATAAATCTACAATATCTTAACAATTAAAACCTGGAGAGTCTCCTTCTTATACATAACAAGTTTTAAAAAAAGACATAAAATCAGTTATGTACTGGATTGGAACAAAAAGTAGTAGCATTATGCCTAAATGATAATAATTATAATGACTAAGAAAACAGAAAATCAGATACTATATTATACTACTTCGTTTTATGATTAAATAGATGAGTCCAAAATCTTAATAAAGAACAAATTTTTTACACTTTGTATTTTTTAAAAAGCCGTCAGTGCTAACAGTTTTTGATGTCTGGCGGATGGCAAAACAATTCTTAAAACAGCTGACTTATGCATAAATACCCTACCAGATTAAATGCATGCTATGAGCATAATTGTAAACACCCTGAATATTTTCACAAGTACTAAAATGTTACTAATTTTAATTTCAATTTCTTACAAAATCAGCTTGTTCTGTAATTTTCAGTGGTCTCAGTATAGGGTGAAAAATGGATTTTTAAATAACATTTTCTATGCAGCTACACCTTACTTACCTCTTCCATCTTCTATTCTGTGCCTCCTGATTACTCGCTGCCGTTTTTCTTCTTGTCTTAACTGAAGGTGTTCTTCAATGTTAACTCCAGGTACTGGGACAGCTAGTTGATTTACAAAAAAAAAAAAAAAAAAATTAGGTGCACACACACACACAATATAGCGGAACTATCTAAAATTTAAGAATGTAACAGCTAATAAAAACTGTCTAGAATTAATTATTTTTACAGTAAGAATCTTAGCAAAAAAGAAAAAGAACCTCTTCCCTTAATTAATGATATATTGTCAGTTAAATATACGTAGTATTACATAATTAACTATTATCTTAACTTTTTAACAAATATCTAATAGAAATTTTTTAACTATCCTTATTACTGAGTTGAGAACAAGATGCTCCATATAATAAAGCAAATTACCTAACAGGAGATCTAAAGGTATCATCTCTTTCACTGCATCAAGAATTCCTCTTTGTCTTGCTTCTTGACCATCCAGCTCTCTTGCACAAGCCTTGCAACATCCACACACAGCACAGCCAGATTCTCCAGAACCACAGCCACAAATCCTTAAAAGAAAAAAAATTAACTGAAACCTTTCTACTCTTTCCTTAAAACTCTTCTCTATAACATCTCTCCTGCATTTTTGAGATTAAGTTAAATGAGTGAACAATAAAATCATTTCTTCAGATCAGGGTCAGGAAAAGGACTGAATAAATGAATAATTAAAAACAAGAGTTTATTAAGTTCCTCATATGCAGAATTGGAATATTTCTACAGAAAATACAAAGATATTCCATCTTCAAAGTTGCTATTAACAAATATTTTTTCAAGTTTTCATATTCAGTGAAGCACCAGCAGTGTTACTATTAAGTGGTCTGGACTGATGGGTAGTAAACGAACACTTCTACCTACCAGGTAAGTCAAGGGAGGTGTGAGCAGCCTTCAATACATGAGCTCACCTTGCCAGCTTCTTATATTATGTGTCCTTTTTCCTCCCCCTCCTTTACACACTATCATTTCCCATTCACTCCTTTTGTTGTGTCCAATTACCTGTTCTTTTTCCTCTTCTTTGTCCTTTTGTCCTTAGTTTTGAACTAAGCCTGGGGTATTTCATTATATCATAAAGAAGACAAGAATACTCTCAGAAGTTGGCTAGAGGGTCGGTCAGTGAACAACTAACTTCTTAGTCGTATATTTTACAGATGTAGAAGTCATAGATTTAATGTTATTTGCTGGATGAGTTCCGAAAAACTTTACAGACAGCCCTGCTGAGCCCCTTGTTATCCAGATTTGTGGAGGTAGAAAAGAAAAGATTTATCTAGCAGTATAGCCTTGAAAGACAAATCTAGGTGCCCTATGAAACGCTTGGCTTTTAAATGCCAGCAATACTGACAACCTGAAAGATGACTAACTACAATAGTAAAAAGTGATACAATAATATGTCCCACTGAATTGTCTGTGGGCACTATTTAAGAAATAATGTTTAATTCTAAACTTAGTCTAAGATAGGTAGTCACAATTTCATAGTAACTGAAATAATTTTTAATGGTACTTAAGTGTTCTGGCACATATTCCTATCTTAACTTTATTCATGTATTCATTTATGCTTCATTAATAAAAAAATTATTGTACTCGGTTAGGTACTGTGCATTTTGATCTATAAATAATTACTAGAAACTGACAGTAAATCTTTGGGGGGAAAAGCATATAAAAATAATAATTAGTTTTAAGAAAGACCAGAGGATTATATAATCATTTATAATATTTATCAATTACTTAAGTTCAGATATTGGGGACATTAACTTTAATGGAAATCTCTCAAGACATCTCCAGGAGGATAAATTTCAGCTCCTTGTAAAAGAAATATTGTCCTTTAACAAAGACAGCCAAAATATTTCTAATATGCTAAAAATGCAAATAAAACATAGTGTTTAAAAATTGTAATATTTCAGTAGTTTAAAAGAAAAGAAAACATCTGTTATTTATGATCTATTTCACTACATTAGGCCATAGTATCAACCCAGAAACGGACTCACAGTAGATCCAGACATTACTCGGGAAGAAGCACCTGACCCTATACTACAGAGGTGCCAAATAGGTATAAGTCTGCTATGTGGAGGCAGGGGTTGGCTTTTCACAAGATTCCCTTTACTTTCCAAAGTCAGCTAGTTATCATATCATAATGTGATCTTCCAAAGATCAGATCTATCATAATATAAAATCTATCATAATTAATTTGGTCTTACAAAGGATACATCATTATGTTACAATGGCTATAAATGGCAACACAAGAATAAGAATGAAAATTCTCCTCAACATTCTATGGGAAAATCTGCATTCTGATTGTGCCAAACTCACGCATTAACTTTAACTCACAAGTTAAACAACAAGAGTGTGAAAAAATAAAGTGTTCCAACAAGAATAAAAGATAAATATAAAAGGTATAATGCAACTTTAAATGCAATAGTTCCTCTAAAATTGTAAAAAGCAAATTCAATTTAAATGAAAATTACTACTACTATCCCTAGTAGAATATCCTATATGATTTTTGATGTTCTACTAAGAGAAGATTCATATTCAACAAAAATGAATAGATATTTAGCACTAAAGCAGTCTTAGAAAAAGAATACAAATGAAGGCACAGCCCAAGCCTTGAAAAAATTTATGACCCGTTTTTAAATAACGGTTTAAATGAGTCAAATTAAAGAAAAGCAACTTAAATGACACTAAACTAAAAATTATTATAATAAAAAACAATTATAAGAAGTACAAGCACATGCCATTATGCCTTTAAGACACAACACACTAGAATACTCTGGAATAATTTTGAAAAGAAATGTTTTGCACCTTTGCCACCAGTATTTTATTTCTTCAATATTAATCATTTTCTTACCCTCCAGGAACTCTGTCTGGACGCCCACTACTGACACAGCTGGCTCCATAGCCTGTACAGTCTCCACAGACAGTGCACACCATGCACTGCTCCAGCTTCCACTTATGCATGCCAGGAGGGCACATCATAGACTTCTCATCTTTTTCATCCAGCTCTTCTTCCAGGTCTTCATCCATTGCCGTGGCCATATTTTCAACTCCAAACCCTATTTGACAGATCAGTTTATAATTTTTGAGTAGATAAACAGATTATTCCAATGTCTAAAAAGCTGACAATTATATTTCTCAATTAAATGTGTGTGTGTGTGTGTGTGTGTACACATACATAAAAAAAAAACACATACTAGTCCAAGTGAATATACAAAGAAATGCCAACCTGTAAGAACAAGAAATATAAAATTTAATTTAGGGACCACTAATACATGCTCTCCCCATTTCCTTTCTGCAGTCAGGGAAGGCAGAAACATCTCTTAGCTGTTCCTTTCTGTCAACCACACTTCTTATTTTTTTTATTTTACTCCCTCCTTACCACCCTCACTGCCAACACTTTTGTTCAATAGACCAAAGAAAGATTCCTAACCACACACTAACCCAAGAGAAATGTGCATTTGAAATGAATGTGTATTTTGCTTCTTTGGGATAAAAGGCTGTATATATCAGTTAAGTCCATTTGATCTAGGGTATTGTTCAATGCCACAATATCTTTGTTGATATTTTGTTTGGAAGATCTGTCCACTTTTGACAGTGGGGTGCTGAAATCCCCTACTGTAATTGTGTCATGGTCAATATCTTTCTTGAAGTCCTCCAAGATTTTCTTTATGTATTCGGGTGCTCCTATTTTGGGTGCATATATATTTACAATGTTTATGTCTTCTTGATGGATTCTTCCCTTTTGTATTATGAAATGACCTTCTGGGTCTCTTTTTATGGCCGTTTTTTTGACGTCTATTTTGTCTGATATGAGTATTGCTACCCTGGCTTTTTTTTTTTTCCTGTCCATTTGCTTGGAATATCTGTTTCCAGCCCTCCACTTTCAGTCTGTGTAGGTCTTTTGTTTTGAGGTAGGTCTCTTGTAGGCAACATATGTCTGAGCCATTGATTTCTTATCCATTCAGCTACCCTTTGTCTTTTGATTGGAGCATTTAATCCATTTACATTTAAGGTTATTATTGATAGGTATTTATTCATTGCCATTATTCCGTACCTGTGTTCCTCTCTATCTTTCTTCCTTTTCTTAAAGCAACTCCTTTAGCATCTTTTGCAGAGCTGGTTTGGAGGAGGTAATTTCTTTGAGGTTTCTTTTCTCCGGAAAGCTCCTTATTTGCCCTTCCATTTTAACTGAGAGCCTTGCTGGATAAGGCAGTCTTGGTTGCAGGCCTCTGCTTTTCATTTGGAATATTTCTTGTCAATCCTTTCTGGCTTGGAGCATTTCCATTGAGAAGTCAGCTGCTAGTCTTATCAGGGCTCCCTTGTATGTTACTTCCTATTTCTCCCTTGCTGCCATCAATATTCTCTCTGTCTTGGAATTTTTCCATTTTAATTATGATGTGTCTTGGAGTGGGCCTCTTTGGGTTCCTCTTGATTTGGACTCTCTGTGTTTCCTGGATTTGTGTGACTTTTTCTCTCAAATTAGGGAAGTTTTCCATCATCACTTTTTCAAACATGTTTTCTGTCCCTTGCCCTTATTCTTCACCTTCTGGTATCCTTAGTATATGGATATTATTACACTTCGTGTAGTCCTGAAGTTCCCTTACCACCCGTTCATTCATTCTAAGTTTCTTTTCCTTTTCTTGCTCTTTCTGGGTGCTTTTTTTTTCTACCTTGTCTTCCAGCTCTCTGATTCAATCCTCTGCTTCATCGAGCCTGCTTTTGATTCCTTCTACTGTGTTCTTCAATTCAGAAATTATATTCTTCATTTCCTCTTGGCCCTTGTTGATGGTTTCTATTTCCTTTTTCATGTTGATATAGTTTGCAGTGAGTTCACTGTAGTTTCCCTCTCGTTTCTGGTAATTCTCTGTTAGCTCAATGAGCTTCCTAATAACCATTGCTTTGAACTCAATATCTGATAGTTGATTTGCCTCTATTTCATGTAACATTCTTTCTGATGCTTCCTCCTTTCCTTTCATTTGGGGTTTGTTTCTTTGTCTTCCCATTGTTCGTGAGACTCTTCTTGTTACCCTCTGCTTCTTAAATTGATCTGTTCTGACTCCCTGGGTTTATGGTGTGAACTTCTATGGTAGGAGACCTGTGAGATTCAGTAGTATAGTCTCCATGATCCCCTGAGCTTGCTGGTCTTGGGCTGTTGTTTATGTTGACTCTCTGGATGTCTTTGGGTTTTGATTGTTATTGGGTTTTTCTTTGGTGGGTCCTTCCCTCCAGCTGGTTAACTGAGGGTCAGTCCACCCACCACATCTTGTATTCTGTTGTTCAGGTGTGGACAGGATGTGTTGAAGCTGTTTCTTCTGTCTGTCTGAGGTTTTGAGGCTTCTCTCTCGCTATTGTTCTGGATAATTTCTCCACTGTTTAGTTGTAATCACAGATTGGTCCTGGGTGGAGGTTAGTGTGGCTTCCACTCACTCCTTCATCCTTCATCTTCTTTCATTAATATCTGTTCGTAGTTCCTTTGTTGGTGGGTTCTCTCTTCCAACAGGCATACTGGCCACCTACTCTTTTTTGTGATCGTTGGAGGGGGAAGGAAAAAAACTTTAAAAAATCCCTTTATGTTCTTTATGACTCAGCAATCTGTATTCATTATGTGTCTCACACTACTACAGTAGCATGCTTTTTAATCTAATACTTACAGAATGGGTATAATTTCTAGTAAATAAACAAAATCTCTTAACAACTTTATTTTGGTTACTGCAAACTTCACATTAAGAATCCAGAACATAAGTGTGAATGTATGCTCAACTTTCACAAAAGTTTCAGAATAATAAATAATTTTGTTGAGCTCAGAATTCATATAAAACATAATTTGAGCATATATTTATATTACATATAGAAAACTAAAACAGTTCTCTCCTCTTTGCCTGATAGGCATTACCCAAAACTGTGGTTCACTAGTTTAGCAGATGAAAAATATTTCCATTTTAGAGTATCCAATCTTTTCTTCCTTCTGTTCTTTTTTTTTAATTCTTAAAAAATCAATATACCTCTAATAGGTATTCTGTTTTAAAACTAAAGTATTTTTAGAGTGGACTGGGATGGGAATAAAAGACAGAAAACTGTACTGGAACAATTAAAATAAAAAAAATAAAGTATTTTTAAATACATACAAATATAAAGAAGCTAAAGAAAAAGAAAGTGGGCTTTTAATATCCAGATGAGTCTGCCATCAAGTAGACCCCCAAAGAGCGAAACTTGTGTTTGTCAATTTATACAAATATTAATCCTGAAACTCATTTGTACTTCAAACAATTCAATGTATAGTTCTAATAATATATCTATTTCCTATTCTCAAATCCACACAAAATTAAAAACAGAAGATAAGAAATTGGCATGAAAGGTATAGGAAAGCACTGATAAAGTAAAAATTGAGAGCAAGAATGAAGTAGCCCCAAAGTGCTATAAAAACAAACCACAGCAAGCATGGATAAACCCCTCTCTTTCCTTCAACATACTGAGTATTTGGGCAAAGGATACGGTGAATAAGGGGCATCTACAATTTTGTACTTGATAAACGATCAGTATTCTTAAGGATCATTCTTGGTTGTCAAGAACTGATTGAATTACAGGTAGTGCATGCTGTTAAACAGGAAAGTATTTTCCAGACTGCTGTTAAAAATGGTTAAAGCTGAAAATGTGGTATAAAAAGTTAATAATGAAAAGTTTGAAAATAATTTTCTAGAATAATTTAATCACCAAAGATAATAAATCAATATATTTTTTATAAAGATTAAGAAAAACATGGAAGTAAACAAACTCATTTGCTCAGAAATTAGTCTAAAGTGTATTTGATTATTCCAGTGACATACTGTCAAATAAATAAGAAATTCAGTGATTTTCCTAATGTATACACATGAAACCAAAGAGCTGCTTGTTTTGAAAAGAGTAAGATTCCTTATCATCTTGTTCTGAAAAGGTAATGAAAAGGCAACACACAATTTAATATTAACATAGTCAACACCTACCTTTCCCACCTTGGTTCATGGCACCCGTGTCTCTTCCACACTGTCCTTTATTATTTACACCAAATGTCCAAACTTCTCCATTCTTCATTAAAACACAAGTGTGAGCTTTGCCCATAGCTACCTGAATTACGAAATGGCCCTTCAAATCTGTTACCAAACCTACAGGAAAGATAGGAATTTGGTAAGAAAAAACAAAAAACCCTTTCTGAGCCTAGTGAATCCTCAGTAATGTAAAAAGGACCACCCTCAATGGAGAACTTTTCATTTCTAGGATAAAATAGCCACCAAAGTGGCCAAAAGCCTGGCAGGTTATCAGTAAATTAATTTTGCAATTTTGTAATGAAACTTCGAAGTTTTTAAATATTATCATCCAGACTGGGACAAATATTTACTCTGGCCTTAGCTCAAGCTTGCATCTCCTGAATGCTTGCTCTAAATGGCAATACCTCTCAACAATTCTCAGACAAGTTATTAGTTATCAAACTTTCCTTGCCCAGGCACAAAGGAACATATCAATCATGTACCTCACCTGCTTTAACCTGCTTCAGTAAGACCAAGGAAAACAATCATCAGAGTATAATGAAATAACTGTTTTTGTAGAAACCTGTGAGATTTTCCAAAGTAGTATTTTTCAATTCTTTTTAAACCTACAATGCTTTCTCCCACAATCCAAGTCTTGCATAGCAAGACTTAAATTTCACTTATTCACACATTACTTTCATCACTCCTGCCATATCCAAGTGCTACCCACATACTCTGAATTTTTTGCATCAATTTTAATGTGACAAGCATAGCTTAACCTCATCAAGGAGGAATAACACTAAAATTGAAGATTGTTGAATATTCCCTATACCAAAATAAAAACATTTTTAAAGTCAATGTATTTATTTTATTTAAATTACCAATAATATAACTCTTTTATCATACTTTGGGAAAACTATTCAGATATAACTTCTTTAAGGTGATCTCCCCTTCACCTATACTACTTTAGGTCTTTTTGCTAAGTTCACCTCAAAAAACTCCCATTTTTAGTACTTAGTATTGGAAAAGATAAGTATATATAGCAATAGTATTTATTATTAACAGTACTAGCTGACATGTCTTAAGCCCTTACATGTGCCCAACTCTGTGCTAAGCATTTCATAAAAATTACCTCCTGTAATCTTGTAACAACTAGGTACTATCATTAGCCCCCTTTTGCAGGTGGAAAAAGAAATAAATAAAAGCAAGCTAAAAAGTTAAGTAATTTAAATTACCATAGCTAGCCAACTAAAAAGGGGTAGTGCCAGGATCTGAGTCAATATCCATAACCATTAAGGCACACTTCCCTAATATTTTGAAGTTCTTTTTAAATCTATTTTAGTGATTACGCTATTACAGTTGCCCTAATTTCCCCCTTTTGCCCCCATACCCTCCAGCAATCCCCCCCCCCTTGTTCATGTCCATGAGTCGTGTATATAAGTTCTTTGACATCTCCATTTCCTATACTGTTCTTAACATCCCCAGTCTATTCTGTACCTACTAATTTGTAGTTCTTAATCCCTGCACCTTTTCCTCTATTCTCATCCTTACCCTCCCAACTGATAACCCACCAAATGATCTTCATATCTATGATTCTGTTCCTGTTCTGCCTGTTTGCTTAGTTTGTTTTTTAGATTAAATTGTTGATAGTTGTACATTTATCACCATTTTAATGTTCATGGTTTTGATCTTCTTATATAATTCCCTTTAACATTTCATATAAGGGCTTGGTGATGATGAACTGCTTTCGTGTTACCCTGTCTGGGAAGCACTTTATCTGCCCTTCAATTTTAAACAATAGCTTTGCTGGATAGAGTAAATTAGGTTGTAGCTCCTTGCTTTTCATCACTTTGAATACTTCTTGCCAGTCCCTTCTAGCCTGCAAAGTTTCTTTTCGGAAATCGGCAGTTTTATGGGAATTCCCCTGTAGGTAACTACTTTTCTCCTGCTGCTTTTAAGATTCTCCCTTTATCTCTAACCTTTGGCATTTTAATTATGATGTGTCTTGGAGTGGCCCTCTTTGCATCCATCTTATTTGGGACTCTGTGCTTCCTGGACTTGCATGTCTACTTCCTTCACCAAATTACGTAAGTTTTCTTTCATTATTTAAGTTCAATTTCTTGCTCTTCTTTTCCTTCTAGCATCCCTATGATTCAGACGTTGGTATGCTTGAGGATGTCCCACAAGCTGTTTACATTATCCTCACTTTTTAAAATTCTTTTTTCTTCTGGCTGTTCTGATTGAATGCTTTTTTCGTCCTTATGTTCCAAATTGTTGATTTAATTCTTGGCTTCAACCACTCCACTGCTGATTCCCTGTATATTTTTCTTTATTTCACTTAACATAACCTTCATTTCTGCCCAGCTCTCTTTTATGCTGTTGAAGTACCCAGTAAGTTCCTTGAGCATTCTGATAACCACTGTTTTGAACTCTGTATCCAATAGGCTGCTTATCTCCATTTCATTTATTTTTTTTCTGGAGTTTTGTTCTGTTATTTCATTTGGGCCATATTTCTTCATCTCATCTTGGTAGCCTCCCTGTGTTTGTTTCTATGTACTGAGTAGAGCTGCTTTGATTCCTTTAGTAGTGTGTCCTATTGTAGAAAAGCATACCTACAGTGTATGGGGTGGAGCCTTAGGGAATAGCAGGGGCAGGGAAAACCATGTCACTGTGGCTCTGTGTGGAGGAGGGCTCAGAGAGGGGACAATGCTGCTGTCTGGTCTCTGGAGTTTTGTCCATGAAGAAGCTGTCTCCTGGCACTTACCCTGTTGCTAGTTACTTCAGTTTCTTCCCATGTGCCAGTGGTACCCTTCTAGCTGTTGTCCTGATGCTGAATCCCAGATGAGTCTGCCTAAGTCCTAAGTCTGTTGCGGGCCCTTTAAGAGGAATGTCCTGAGAATCTTGCAGTTTCTTCCACCACCCCAACCCACACTAGTTTTTTACAGCCAGAAGTAATGGGGACTTATCTGTCTGTTGCTGGGACCCTGGCTAGGTGGTCTGGTCTGGGGCTGGGATCGCTCGCTCCCAAGGTATCCCTCTTGATTTTTATCCACCATACGTGGATGTGGGACCCTCTGTTCCACATCTCTGTGCCTCTTCACAACACTCCACATCTTTGTGCCTCTCTGCATGTCTCCTACCCATCAAGATGAAAGTCGTTTCTTTAAATCTTTGGTGGTTAGACTTCCATACAGCTCAATTTTCTGATAATTCTGGGTGATACCTGTTTTATAGTCTAGTTATAAATCTTGCCCTAGTTGTACAAGGAGGCAAGGCGTATTTACCTACACCTCTGTTTTGACCAGAGGTCTCTTAAAGTTCCGTATTGGCCATTTTCCTCTCAGATCCTCAAAAAGAAAGGGATCATGTCTATCTGGTCCACCAATTTCCTAACATATTGTCAGTTCTCAATAAAAATAAAATATCAAGTTTCAATTAGCCCTGACCAAAGAGATTTTTAGCTAGCAATAGTTACACTGAACATTATTTTTAAACTATATATGAACCCTCCCCAAAATTTTGATTCACTTTTGACATTGCGGACTACTGGAAATCTAAATATAGCACCACATTAAGCCAACTTACATATCACCTGAGCACAGTTCAATTTAATAATTACTATGAATGCTGGCTATATGTCATTTTCTTAACATAAGACAGTCACTTAAATTTCCAACCAGAAACTTCATTAATTCTGATTTCCTTTTACCAAAGAAATCTGTAGGCTTTACATATTTATCTCACATAAACACCAAGTGAGTTGTCTTGCAACCAAATATGACAAATTTTTGAAATCAGAATTTATAAATATGAAACTCTTTATTTGCCTAGTTCTACCCTTTATAGTCACTACTTAAACTTTTGGTTTATCTGTCATTCAATCACTTGAGCCTCTTCTATGTGCCCAACACTGTGCTGGGCCCTGGGGATGTAACAGTAAATAAGTGAGTGATAGTCTCTCCCTAAATACCTAGAAGGGGAGATAAATCATTCATCAAGTATAAATCAGCTACGTCGTGAAAATCACTTCCCCACAGTACTACCAGACATACATCATGGGAGCATCTAACTGAGCCCAGGAAAAGCTCTCCAGAGCAAGTAACAGCTGAAGTGGAGCTGCACTTCCACACACCACAATTCTGATAAAACCAGTGACTGTTTCCAGCAATAACACGGGAAGGAAATCACAAAGCGGTTCTATTTGTAAATATACATGAAAAATGTAGAGAAAGCATCCCACATATGTTAACTTTCTAGACATATCTTTGCAATATGTAATGTCTAGTATTGGACTTTCTTTGCTTAAAGGTGAAAGAGTGTTTAAGTTTAACTTACTTGAACTATCAGAGTAAATGGCATCTTTTCCAAACATGTACAGCTCTCCATCTTTAGAAATAACAGAACTACTTCCATTATTGCAGGCTGTATACACCACAATCTTTCCTTCCATCTTAATTATCTTTTTAGGTTTATATGGTTTTGATTGTCGTCTGCTCTTAGCTAAAAAAATTAAATTAAGGCATTAATGCACAAATAAAAATAATGGTTTGTATATAAAGCACAAGGAAAAAAACATGTCATTTGCATTTATGATACACTTTATTGTATTTATTCTCACAAAAGCCTGGGCTTCCCAACATGTCATACAAAATGAGTCAACCTGCAAGTCTCGTCCAGTTAATTAATATTTAGGCTACCCCTGTGAGACCCTGTAGCACAGTGAAATGCCCAATGGGAGACACAATTTTCTAACAAGCCTCTGGGGAATCTAATCTCTAGATTAGCTATTTGCATCATCAAAATCATGTCATTACCATCTATTTTAAAAAATTCCCTTTTTTCTCAAACTCTATTTCACATGTACTCTTATGGTAGAACCTGGAAAATAAAATCAGTTCCCCATTCATTCAAAACATATATATTAAGTAGCTACATATAGTTAATGAGAGACTATAAGGAAAGGAAAAATACATATGGAAGGACAGTGAATAAAAATAAATGTAGATAATTCAAGCAACCTCTCCTTTTAAAAGCTAAATGTCTGAAATGTGCACAATAGTGGAAAAAATCAATCTTCTATTCCTTTATTCAACCTCAGTTTTGCATGCCTTTTAGAATAAAAACATAGTACTGTGCTGGGTTTAATTCTGGGACTTTAAAATACAGACCATTACATTTTTTCACATAACATGATCCACATACACATATACAGCTACTATGTTATCTGGTACTCTAAATGCTTGAAGGATAAACTGGCTGTGCTGAAGTTTCCTAAACAGGGTAATGTACTTCATGACTATTTTTAAGACTTCTTCCAGGTAACTTTTATTTACATATGATTTTTACATTAGATATCGACTTCAAATCTGGTTCTCATAACACAATACCCCACCATACTACAATGTACAAAGTAAATGAAAAGTTTCAAAAACAGAAATATGACACCTTCAGGGAAATTAAAGTACACAGAGAAAGTAAGAGATAAACAAAATTGTTTATTTTTTCATTGTTAAGGAATTGCTTTCATCTTAGAGAAATAACACCAAGAACAGTGCATTACTACCTAAGGTTACATAAGGTTTACTTCCTTCTGAAACATACATTACTTCCAAAATTTGAGATTACCGAAAATAATATACTGAAATAAATATGATATTTAAAATTATGCCAGCTGACAAAAAAAGACAGTCAAGTAAGCCTAAATATAGAAAAATTAATATAAACCCTAGAAGAAATCTGCAATCCCAGTTTGTTAATGAACAGTACACAACCACCATTAACGGAAGATGTCCCATTGTAAAAGTCCTCTGTTAACTTGGTGAGGTTAGTGCTGTTGAAATTGATGTATCTTATCTTAAATTCTGCACTATTTTTACTAAAAGCCCAGTTAATCAGTTAACTTACTTGACTCTCCATCTTCTCCTTTACTAGCAGATCCTGTAAAGAATATGCTTCCATCTTCTGCAACTAAAAGGGCGTGAGAGCCATCATGTCCGACAGAGAAGTGAACAATTTTTGGAGATTTTGTAATTGGTAGCTCAACCCACTTTCCTGCTGAAGGACCACCTTGTTTGATTCCAAGACTCTGGTACTTGCCTGTGTAATATATCTTAAATACATGTTTTTAAAAAAGAAGAAGAAGAAAACCAGAAAAGAAAAAAGTAATTATAGTGTCTTTTGGAGTAGTGCATCAGGTTTTACATGAGTGAAAAAAAACTTCCATATTTCATTAAAAAACAGATATAACAAGAACATAACTCTTTTTTAATGGTATTCGACTTCTGTAAGCAGAGGAGAGAAATAGGCATATTTTTTCAAAAAGACAAAGTTCATAATAGTTTTTTCAGATCTGTTCAGAATACTTATCTTTCATTTTTTACTCTGAAAGATACTTTATAAGTATCCTAAATAGATGTAAAAAAACATGCTGAACAAATATACTCAAAACTCACACCAGGAAATTCATATAATTCTTTTCATTTCCCCTACTGCTAAAGCCCTGCATACAAATACACTACATTTGCCCAGAAATTTTTATTTTTAGAACTCTTTAATTACCCTACTTTATCCTGACACTCACTAAGTAGAAAGAAGCTTCCATCTCTAGAGATTGACCATTGCACAACCAATAACCAAATTACACAAGTTCCTACTTCCTCCAACTTGTACTCTGTATACTTCTGCTCATTTACAGAAATTTACAGTGGATATCTTATTCATCAAAATATACTCAAAATGTGAATTCACCCCAACTCAGAAAATTATACAAAAAGCTCCACGATAAAAATAAATATTTATAAAAATGCAACATTTTATAAAGTTTCTAAAGTTTTATACTCTTATATGTCCGTTCTTTCATATTTCAATGTGAATAAAATTTTACCATATAAAAAACAAGAATTTAAGTCAAAATTTAAATATGGTTGCTTAAACACGTTAGCTATGTAAACTAATCAACTGATTGTACCAACTATCTCTTAAAGCACGTAATATTAATTTTTAATCCTGAAAGAGTAATTTACCTTTCCATTTGCTGTTTTCATTAGTGCAAACTCCCGTCCTGCGCCAAGAATTGCTGACTCCTCATCAAATCCTGTACCTGACAATACAACAAGATTAATAAATTCTATTATTTTTAATATGAATAATTTCAAGCACAACTTGCACTATTTTGAGTAATTAAAAAAGTCAATTCAATTTACTCAAAAACAAGTATGACAAAATGTCATGTCTGAATTTTAAAAAAATATTAACAATATGTACACTATTCTAAGAACAGACAGTTACCATTAGCTTCTTGATTTGTTACAAACTAGTGCCAGATAAATTTTTTAAACATTAAAAAAGTTTTTGAAGTCATGTGATCAATATCCCTTGAATTAATGAATGGATAACACATTTTTAAGTGAGCATTTATTAGGTACCAGACATTATAGAATGCATGAACCTTATCCTATTTAATCCTTATAACTACTGTGTCTGGTTTACAAATAAACAAATATAAAGCTTGGTGAAGTTAGTCCAGACCCACAATCATTTGAGTTTGAACAATGCCATGCCAATATCCAAATTATGATATTTTAGATCCTCTATTCCATGCTTTTTTACTACAGAACACTTCATGAATTTGAGTATATAGGTGTGCACATATACACATAGACCTTTATGCACATTTTCAAATTGGACAACTGAGTATATGATTATATATAGCACAGTTTATGATTCTGTCTAATTATACAAATTACTAATTAGCTCATGGGATTATTAAATTTAAAAACTGTAATTTAAATTCAGTATTTTTCTGTTGAATTGAATTATAAAAATACTACAAAATTAAATAAAATATGCAAAGTTTCACTAATGTCAAATTTATTAAATTTAATGAGATAGTCAAAAGAGATGGGTCTTGCAGAGAATCCTCTTAAAAAATGGCACTCTCACACCTGCAGCAGCATGGCAAACCAAAACTGATAACCCTGTGGAAACCAGTAGACTCTACTACTCAGACACTGCAGGAGTAAGTCCACCAAATCCAAGAAATACCCTGTGGCTGGCTGTGTATCTGCATCCAAATGAAAGAGTATTAATCAGTTTATTAGGCCAATTACAATTTTCACAATCTATGGGATCATTCTATGGCTATCCTGAAAATCTGCTTAAACTAAAATTAAATGTTTCAGTGAGATAACTGTGTATATGACTGTAGTTTTAAAATAGAAGTTTTCAAAATTAAATAATGGAATACAGATAGAGCACATAAAATAACAATGTCCACCTGTGTTATCTATCTAATTCTTATCAAATATAAGTTTATTTTCTTTTGCTCCATTCAAAATGAAAATGGAAAATTATTAGTCACTTCCTTAAAATGGCATTCATATATCATACTCTGTTTAAAGGCAATATTTCCTAGTTACTTATACATATTAATTCATAAGTGTGTTTTAAAGTAACAGACAGCAAAACAGCTGCTAAAATATAAGCTATACTGCTGGCTGAAACACAGTATTAGTTTTCAAAAGAATAAAGAAACTAAAAATTAAAATATGGGATAAAGGCTTATTTGACCATCTTACTTATAATATGCAAATCCTTTTCCAGATCAAACAGTGAGATACCACAGGCATGCAAGCATTTTCTGGCCAGTTTAAGTTGTAGTTCTTGTTGTAGCACAGGTTCAGTACTTGTGGCAAATATTCTGACAACAAAGCCATCCTAACAGAAATAAGATATCCACAGTATTATATTGCATGAATTGGTCTTTTAAGGCTCTACATTTCATCTAAAAAAAAAATCAAGTAATTGTAAGAAAGGGATTCAGAGTACTTACATCTCTTGAAGCAGCTATCTGATTAATATATTCTCCATCAGTGAATAAAATATTTTGACCTTCAGTGTGGCAATCTGTGTAAAATGAAAAAAGTAATTCTATTACAATAAAAATAAGCACCTCATAAAATGACTTTACTCCTCTGTTGAAGTCAGAATGAGAGATCTCCACACAATAAGGATAAACTTAAAGGGAGACTATGCTTTTTTAATAAAGAATTACAAATCAGCAAAAACTAAATAGTTCAACTAATAATATTTATTACATTTTGTGCTTACATTTCTAAATCCTCCCTAATCAGGGAACTCAGAGCCCACCTAATTTAAAGTGAATTAGTATTAAAGTCTGATCATAAACATGCACCACAATGAACAAACTGTAACACTGGTTATATCATTTCAATACAATCACATGCAAATGTAGGCAACACTCTTCCTCAGACATACGTCACATCATTAGTGTCACAGAAAAATACAGACAGACCTAACGCTTCTGCATTTGAGTCTAGGGTGTCCAACTACAGATATCCCTTGCTTTATAAAATAGAACTGGTTCTATAGTTTCCACTTAGAAGTTTAATGTTTATTCCTAGCATTTTTTAGTGGTTAGTGTACTATATACTTTTTAAATATTCTCATAGAACAAAGAAATCTATGCTCATGTATTTCTTTTTTTCTGAAAGTGCTCATGTATTTTGGCTGGAATGCCATGTTTTGTCAATATGTCTGTGTCTATGAATAGTGCACTTATATATTTTGATCAAAATAACACGCAAGCGCAATTTTAACAAGGGATACCAGTATTACAGAAGGACCACTGGGACATGTGTTAGTGATTGCTGCTAAATAACATGAAACTAAAGCAAAATCAACTTCTAAGTATAAACTGTGCCCTTTTGGAAAAATAAACATACAGCAAGCAAGTAAAAAAGCACACACACTTCCCAAAATAACTGCAGAGAACTAGGATGAATCTCTCCATTAATTACAATACCAAAAAAAAAAGTAATAGTAATATCTCACTTATATTTGCACCTGAATCAACAAAACATAAAATTCTGTTTTTGGAATGCAGTAATGGAGCCCACCCACATGAGATGGATTACTCTATATCTTTGCCCAGGAGCTTCATACTAGCATACTCCCTTATTATAAATATGCAAAACACAGGCAGACCCTTACCAAATAGAGAATTCAGTGATCACAAACTGGAAATAGAAACTGGGAGACAAGGCCCACTGGTAGCCCAAGAGACTTGATAATCAAAGAGAGGAGAAATCGAAAGAAAGAGTTCCTAGTCCACTGTACAGAATACAAAGAGGCGCAAGAAAGATGCTTCTCAAGCTCTAAGCAGTAAGATTTTAAACTAAAAAGCAAAGAAGAAAAACTCATTATAATTCAGATAAATGCAGAAATGAGGAGTGAAGCGACGCAAGAAGAGTAGCAAAAACCTTCATGATCTGAGGCAACCTGTCACCAGACATGGAAAATAAATGACATAAGGACACAATATATAAGATATGCCAACATATAAAGGCTAAATTGACAATTAACAAGAAAAAAAAGCATGTTTCAACTTCATCAATGCTAGGTTGAAAACAACTTAGTTATAAACTAGACTGTAAGACAAGTTGGATCATGAAGCTCAAAGAATTACCAGATTTATGTCCATTTTAAACATGGTATATTCACTTCTATCTATAAAGCTGACAATTCATTTCTGCTTGTTCTTGGCTGGAAAGCCTCAGGGCAGAGCTGCCCCTAGCCAGGGGGAAGAAAAGTACTATTGAAGTAACTGCAGTCCAGGTCAAATGTGAAAATGACAAAAGGCTTCTTCAGGCTTGAGGGCAAGTCTTCCCGCTGTGTGGTTTCAATAAGATTTTTTCTTTATCCTTTTGTTATCCATTATATAATGTTATAAGACAGCATCTTCAGGAAAATATCAAGCAACATCTGCCAGTTCGAAAGACACCTATGGTCCCAAAGTTTGGTTCATTCTCCACCATGAATACGGTACATATTTATAAAACACAGAAAGCCACACTTGCTTTGTTAAAAGTCACATTTAATATATTAAATAATGTAGAGGGATGTGAGCTGAAGACAGTAACAAGTTATTTTTATATCATAGTGAAATAAATACAACAGTTGAATACAGACCATTTGAAAATGGTCTTCTTAGTCACAATCCCTATTAAATGATGAGGATTTCTCAGAAGTAAATAATTTCTATTAGTATCCATCTGTTGGGCAAAGGTTAAGAATTTGCTTTCAGCCCTGGCTGGGTAGCTCAGTTGGTTAAAGCATTGTTCTGATATGCCAAAGTTGCAAGTTCGATCCCTGGTCAGGGCACATACAAGAATCAACCCATGAATGCATAAATAAGTAGAACAACAAATTAATGTCTCTCTCCCCCACCCCAATATCAATAAATAAAGATTTTGAAAAAAAGAATTGTCTTTCAAGATATTATCCTAAAATGACTTGCACAAAGACACAGAGATAGGTATAGTTGTTATAGTATAATTTATATTGCAAAAACTTGGGAGAAACTTCTATTCCAATACCTTAATCAATAAAATATATTTTATAACATTAAAATGATAATGTGGATGACTAATGCCTGAAAATATATTCAGAATGAGTGAAAAGGATAGGTTAAAAAGCAATATGCAGCATTAGATCACTTTTTTATAAGTATGTACAAATATACATAGGAAAACAAAGGAAGGGCATTCACCAATACATTACAGTGTTTATAAATGGGAAGTGAAGTTAGAATTAATTTGATTTTTTTGTTTATATGGTACCTACAAAATAAATACAGTGTGGCTCAGTTGGTTAGAGCATCATTCCAATACACCAAGGTTGTGGGTTCGATATCTGATCAGGGCACACACAAGTAGCAACCAATGAATGCATAAGTAAGTGGAACAACAAATCAATGTTCCTCTCTGTCTCTCATTCTCCCCCTCTCTCTCACTCTTTCTAAAATTAATAAGCAAATAAACTCTGTGTTTCGCATATTCACAACTGTAAAACTACTTTTGCCCCACTCTATATAATCCCTTTTACTGTATGTATACAAGACGGTACATGTTATTATTTTAAAATATTTATTATTACTGTTTATATTATTCAGACCAGAGACATGGCCCAAACTTGTAATACTGAAATTAAAAAATCTGTACACATATCTGAAAACAGTCATTTATAAGATTTCTTTAATAAATCATGTTTTCCAAAGTAGCTTTATTTGTGAAATATACATAAAATGTGGTATTTGTCTTAATATAGTGTCATTTATACTGATTTGGATATATGTATGTTTGACTGAATTATAAAAATATATTAAAAATTAACAAGCAGGATGGGAGCCACTATCCTTCTCAATGTGATCTTCAGATGTGGTTCTCTATCATTTTCAGACGGTCAAGTATATACAAGTAATATTGCTGTTTACCATGAAATTACTGATAGATACATTAAGCATTCAAAACTTTAACATAAATTCCTTTAGAATGTATTAATGGTATAAGCATATTCAAAGACCTCCCAATTGAGAATATATTATCCATTTGTCTAGTATTCCACAAATTTAAGATCTACTGCCTCAGAATTTAAATTTGAGTGATAAATATAGGAGTAAAACCTCAAAATTAAAGCAAAATGGATGGGGCCCAAAGCACCTTATCAGCATATTATTAAAAATATAAATAATGGAATTTTAAAAAATTCCTGGCCTGCTCTGAATTTTTTGTCCCTGAAAACCCTTTAAAATATAAGAAAACCCAAAGCACACTGCTGTTAAGTATAAAGTAAAGAAGGTTCTTTATCCCAGGCTATAGGAGAGTCAGAGTTGTGGTTTTATTAAGAGCAACGAAGTCACATCACCCCACTAATTCAGCAGCTGAAACGCCTTGGTGGAGTAAGGGTCGGGGACATGGATGCAGATGGGCACGAATTTAAAATCAAATATTTTTTTAGATTTTATTTATTTATTTTTAGAGAGAGGGGAAGGGAGGAAGAGAGGGAGAGCAACATCAATGTGAGAAAGAAACAATAATCGGCTGCCTTTTGTATGCCCCCAACCTGACCCACAAGCCAGGCACATGTACACACCAGGAATTGAACCAACCACCTTTCAATTTGCAGGACAACAACCAACCCATTGAGCTATACCAGTCAGAGCAAAATCAAATATTAAAACACTGTATACTATATTCCTGGTGATTTTTTCCTCAGATGCATTAACTTTATATAGACTATAAAATGTTTTGTACATTGCTCTGCCAACTGGCTTAGCTGGTGAGAGTATCACCCAAACATCAAAAGGTGGCTGGTTCCATTCCCAGTCAGGGCATGTAGGTAGGTTACCAGTTCCATTCAGTTGGGGTGTGTACAAGGGGCAACCAATCAATGTTTCTCTCTCATGTTGATATCTCTCTGTCTCTGTCTCTCTCTCTAAAATCAATAAACATATCCTCAGGTGAGGATTAAAAAAATGTTTTGTAGGTCAAGATTTTTTCAACCTATTTGTAAGCAAGCACTGTTCCTTGCTAACCAATCTTTATATGCCTAATTGGCCTAACATGCATTTCTCTTAAAATCGACTGTGAAGAAAACAAAAGAAGCGTTCACTAACATACCTGGTAACATTACAGTTCCATCTTGTTCCAGTGTTTCTGGGCTTATTCTTATGGCTGTCATGCTGTGGTTATTCACATCTCTATACAATAGATAACCCTGATGACAACAAAAAAAATTGCTAAATTATGTGTTAAAATATTTTTTCACTACCAACTTAGCAGAAAAATTTGCCACACAGTTCTTTATTACAGTTTTTTGTGGTACAAGAATGTATCACTACTGATGTCTAAAATAGATTAAAGATGAAAAATGTAAGAACATGGGTAAACTTTAATAAGAGGAGAAATGTATACCATTAGGTATCAATTAACCTATCATGTTCTCAGATACATGTATTAGACATTCTGCACAGGACAGAGAATTTAGTTCAAGATTATTATATCACTTGCTAAGTAAATAACAGAAATATCACTTGCTAAGTAAATAGAAATAACCACCATTACTTAAATAATATTTTAAGAACAATAACCAAAACACTTAAGTTAATATTTAAAAATAAACAGTAGTTTTAGATGAAGTGATATGCCACTGAACATATTTTTGTAATAATTATTTTCCATTTCACTATTTCTTAGATAAAATACAGTAGATAAAAATTCAATGAGATATTTGAACCAGGTTGTTTTAAGAGATAATTACTGAAAAACTGACATTTAAAACTTTAATTTCAAAATCGCTCCAGTAGTTGATATAGCATGATTATTTTTCATATAACAACAGTAATTTATTTAATTTTCAAAATGCTTTCAAATATCTTTTACCATTTGATGCCAACAACAAACTGGAGCTGGGCAAGAGATATCTTTATTTTACATCCCTCCACAAGGGATCCCAGCTTTGCCTCTCAGGTTGGGAGAGCACAGAAATAAAGACCCTGCCCCTCTGTGCATCATTTACTTGCTTCTCCCCATAGGAGGAGGGGTGATGTATCTGACTGTGGACACCCAGCTGGCTCTGTTCGTCAGCTGGTAAGATGGAAGCATTAAGAAAGCAACACAGGCCCAGCTCTTTTCTCTCTTTGGCACTACTTTGCACAATCCTCCGTACAGGTAGCTATCTACTGGAAAGTCCACAGTCTGTTTCTTGCAAGGTACTGGTCTAGATGTAGAATAAATGAGTTAATGAAAAGAAGTTCTAATTTGGCCTCAGGTCACAACTATTCCCAATTCAGATTTGCTAACAATAAAGGCAGTCTTTGATTCTTATCTAGAGGCTCACTTAAACAAGCTGTTCAACAGAAGACACTTTTCTTCCCATTTTACAGCTAAACCACCAAGGATCAAATGTTAACTGAGTTGTCCAAAGTCACACAGCTAGTAAGAAGCACAGCCAGAACTAAAAGTAAACATAAATTCTAAGCCAGTGTGCTTTACATCACACTATGCCACTGTTGCAGACATATTGTTAATAATATACAATATTTGTTTAGATAGAAATGTTATTATTTATTGATTAAACAAGTACAAACCACGTGTTTTTAAAAATGAGAAAGAAAAGTCTGTTTCATTGTGGACATTCCCCTACCTGAGCATATCCTAACCAAGATTTTTTTTCTTTTCTGTTTCTGATGCGAGATGTGGAATTGTATATATGGCCCTGCAAAATAACAAAAGTCAGTCTATCAACAGTTTCATCATTAATAACCAATAAAAAAACAAAAATTGATGAATGACATTTAATGCATTTGTTTCCATTATAATTTCCAAAGAAGTACTATTAAGTCGAAATTAGATGGTACTCTGAAAATGAAGGTAGAAACAAACAGACACAATCAGTGTGGATACACCCTCTGCTTTGATAGAGAACTATAAAAAAATCACATTACCCTCACTGTTCCACTGTATCCAGAGCCTATTTTGTACAATCCATCCTTGCACAACAGATAAAGGAAGAATCCATCATTCTGAAGTAGACATTGATCATCTTCATCAACAGATATTTCTTTTAAAGGCCACCTGTGCATTAAAGCTGCTTTTTTAATGCCATTGCTAAACCAGTCCTGAATTTGAATTTTTCCTACTAACACTGCCTGTACACTTCTCTGTAGTGAATTCAGTATTGTTGGCACCTGGTCAAAAGAGAAGAAAACAAAACCAAATGACATTGTGAAATATCCCAAACATAAAACAGGCAAAATGAAGACAGTTTAATCACATAGCATCATTTATAAGAAAATAAATTATTATAATTGCATTATAAAAGCATAAAAACCTAGGAATAAATTTAACCCAGGAGGTGAAAACCTATAATCTCAAACCCGTAAGAGATTGATGAAAGAAATGGAAGATGACACAACAAATGGAAAGACATACTGTGCTCGTGGGTTAGACGAATCAATGCTGTTAAAATGTCCATACTACCCAAAGCAATCTACAGATTCAATACATTCCTACCAAAATACAGAACTAGATCCTACAGCCCTAAAATTTATACGGAGCCACAAGACACTCTGAATAGCCAAAGCAATCTTGAGAAAGAAGAACAAAGCTAAGAAACTGAAAGGAACCTGATAGCAGCTGGTAGGTTAGGTCACAGGGACGCAGAGACTCTTATAGTGGGCCCAAAGGGTAGTAATAATGAACTAACTCAGAACAAGTTAAATGTAATGGGGAAAATGGAGGCTGGATCCATTTTCTGTCCAAAGGACTTTGTTTAAATCCTAGCTCCTGCCTATTACCTGCTCAGTGATCTTGACCAAGCTGTTTCATTTTCAGAAACTGTTCTCATAGATGTAGTATGACTATAAGCAATGCACTTCACACTGTTTATCTGTGAGGCTTACGTGGCTGTATTAATATTATTATTTGAGAGGAAACATTGGCCAAATTTGACACTGAGATTAGTTTCAGGAGGGGACATGGGAAAAGGAGAGGTCTCCAGGAGGGATCAGAAAAACCCCTTGCTGCGGCTCCCTCGAGAACATTCCTGAGGGAGTTGCCGTGGAAGAAGCAGTTCCACTACTTTTGAAGCTAAGGGGGTGTGTCTCCTGGCAAGCGCCACAGTAGCCACAGTAGCAGAACCGGGGGAAGAACCAGGGCTTGGATGTTCACTGAGTGGTCTTTACTCCTCTGCAGAGATAATCTACATCTCACAAGCTCTCATTTCCTCTGCTTCTTTCTTCTCTCCTGCTGTGAGACATACTTTGCTAGTTAGCTCATTTGAATCTCCCAGCAACTTTGATTCATTGAATCAACCATTGCCCCACTTTCTTTCGCATATGCTAAGTTTTCTCTTTAACTATCTCTAAGTGTTCCCCATACTCCTCTCAGTAAAACCAAATACCATTTCTATCTTTTACCCTTGGTAACATCCCTCAAGACGCCCTGGGTCAATCCAGAATAAGGACAGGGAAAAGCAGAGAAGTTGAAACTGTTCCATACCTTGCGTGTTTGAAAGCATCATCATCCTTCCCCAAACATGACTGACGGTTGAGCTAGGTATAGTATAATGAACGCCATCCCCCCCCACCCAGGACTTCAAAGGCACTTTCTGTTATTTTCTATGCCAGTGCTGCTTTTGAGAAGTCACATTAGACTGTCTCATTCTCTATCCATGTTTCCTTTTTTTCCTTTTCACAGTTTCTGTCTCTCTGTGCTACATTTTGAATAATTTCTCCCTCACATTTATTTCCGTTCACTATTTCTAACTTCACCTTTATTACCCACTGGTTAACCCATCCTTTAAATTTCTACTTGTAATGATTTGTTTTTTCTTTTCTAGAAGTTCAATTCAGTTTGTTTTACGATTTGTCTGATTGCTTTTTATATTCTTATTCCTTAATCATATTTTTGGTACTTTATCCTAACCCTAAGAAATAAATCAGCATATATATTATTTATTCTATATCCAATAATTTCATTATCTAAAGACTTGGCAGAGTTGTTTATGCTATATTTGTTTGTACTAGCTTTCAACCATGGTGCCTTTTTTCCATTGCATTTTGTTTGTGAGCTTAGACGCAGTAGTGTTTTGTCTGTGGGAAGCCTTTGAAGTCTGGAGTTCATTCCTCCAGAAAGGATTTTAATCTCCTTCAATAAAACCCCTCACAGTATTACCATCCCTACTCTACTTTAAACTCTCAGCTTAAGCTTTTTAGAACAAGATAAGTAATGTGCTTTTGGATGTCAAAACAATTTGAGATGTTAAGAGTTACACATTCTACAGGAAAACTTTTCTCCCTCCACCCATACCCTGGCCAAGAGAGATTTGTGAAATGAAGCTGGCAGGTGGAACTGGGGCCAAATCATGAGCACTGTAAGCCATGTTAAGATAACTGGTTTTAATGTGGTATTTGGGCTGCAGCTGGGGACGCAGTAATGAGGCAGGTCTACAGAGAACCTCAGCTGTTAACTCAGAGAATGTAGTGGTTCTGTGTAGCCAAGTGCCTGATCGTGATATTGCACTCAGGAAGGTATGCACTCAAGCACCCCCTCTGTTATTTGACAATGCTCTGTACCATAACTGTAAACTTTTTTCAGCCTTCAACATTCCACTCTTACTCTTCTCTCTCTGTGCCTTAGCACATGGATACCAAGAACATTCTCCCTCCACACCCCCAAGACTATATCTCCTCCCTCTGGACTGACTCATTTCAATTCATCACTTAAACCTCACCTCATATCCCCCAGGATGTCTATGCCAAAAAAAAAAAAAGTCATATGGATGCCTAAGCAGCTCAAATATTTACGGTCACTATACTTTTAAAATTTGGTATATGATATCAGAATGTTTATAATTTTATTAAAATTTAAGAAGGATTTGTATTTTCAGAAAATATTTAAATTGAAATTTGCCAAATGCTTAAAGCACAGCAGCAGAATGTGTTTTGAAAACCACTGCATAGAGGAACTTCAAAACAATTAAGGATTAAGAGAAAAAAGGATTTCAGCCAGGTCAGAAAGAGGAAAAGAGTAAGAGCAGAAAACTAGAGTAAGGGACTGCTCATGTTTGACGGGGGAGAGTTCAATGTCACGGAGTCAGTCACAGAAAATGACCCATTATACTCCTTTTGCTGTCTTTGGCCTGCTAATAACAGGAGTGAGGCAGCCCTTCCATCACTTCTGGAGATTGTCCTAGGGGCCGGAGAAAAGCACGTAACAGAGACTTAAAACTGTAACTTCTTACACAATTTCCAGAATGGTCCAAAAGAATTAAATCAAGTTTACATATAAGGACGATGATATTTCCCACCACTAAGAGTGATGAAGAGTTTAATCCACAAATATTAAAAGCTTAAAATGTAATATGCAAAGCTGAAGGAGTTCAGTAACAAAATCAATTCATGAAAAACTATCCTACCCTACTTTAAACTCTCAATCAAAAATATAGAATTATGTCATGTTTTTATTTCAACAGAAAAATGTTGTTTGGAAATTATGAAGAAATTCTATACTTGAAAATTTAGGGGAAGAAGGGAGGTGGGGAGGAAAGAGAGCAAGATGCTGCAGAGAAAAATGATACAAAACTAAGTTCAAGATTTGAGTTTTTGCCGTATTTCATTTCTTTCTTTTCAAAGATTTTATTTTATTTTTTAGAGAGGGAAGGGAGAAAGAGAGAGAGAGAGAAACATCAATGTGGGGTTGCTGGGGGTCATGGCGTACAACCCAGGCATGTGCCCTGGCTGGGAATTGAACCTGTGACACTTTGGTTCGCAGCCTGCACTCAGTACACTGAGCTACTCCAGCCAGGTCTCATTTCATTACATTTAGTGCTACAGAGTTAAACACACATGTAGCTTAGCTCAAATATGATACATTATTTATATATCAACCTTGGGAAGATCAAAGTATTATATAGACTGAGAAAAAGCAGGGAATTCCTACTGACAAAAATCAGGAAGAAATTTCAATTCAGAATCTTACAACTTTTTAAGCTGCTTTAAATATGAAATACCTGAATAGTTTGGCAAGCATGACTGCCATTGTTGGTGAGAATAGCAGAGATGGCCTGAAGTGTCCTTCCGGTTTCTCCCCAAGAAGCCACCAGACTAAAGAGGCAAGCACAGGAAAGTGCTGTCAGAGACTGTCCTGTGCTGTCATTCATCCCAGTGCTTCGAACAGTGATTTCCAAAAGAAGCTGGAAGAGAGACTCTGTGAATAAAATAGAATTCAATTATAGTCGTTTAACAGACAGAACATGACATGTATATATTCACTTATTTTCACCTTGCCTCATTATAAAAACAATATTTACAGCAGTTCAAATACTTATTTCACATTAATTCCTTTCTAGTTACCCTTTCTCCCCCCAAAGTTAGAATATTTATATCAAGAGGACCTTAGAAAATATTTAGTTCAGCTCTTCATTTTTGTAAATGAAGACATGGAATCTATCCAAGGTCATTTCAAAGAAACTTTCCTTGACGGATTCACATATGCCAGAAATATCCTATCAAGTAACAGACTGCTCACTGCACTTATTTTCCCTTTAAACTTGGAAGAATACAAGCTTCTTAAAATGTTAAATTCCCAGAAAGTTATGTGTTTATTTGCAAAACAACAACAAAATACATAAAATACATGCTATAATTTGTTTTAATATAAAACTGGCTTTATTGCTAGTATAGCAGTTCACACTTATAGAAGGGATATGTAATTCACTTTATACCCTAGAAAAACCTCCACATTCTAGCACAGTATTTTTTAGTCATTTTCCTTCCTATCTCAGAGCCTTGCTTTCCTTAATAAAAATCCAGACTCTTCAAAGACCCACAGTTAGCATCAGAGAAAAGCAATTAGCCAATTTCAAAATTATGTCTCCATCTCTATTTCTATTCTTAAGAACTCCTATCTTGCTTACAGAATATTGTTGAGCCTAAGTCAACAGCACGAAAGGCCAGTATTGATAACATTCAAATACATTTTATTAAAAAAGCAAAGATTTGTACTTAATGGAAGGTGCTACTAATTCCGAAGCTTTATCTATGACAAAAATAGACTTTTATCTATGATGATTACAAAGGATAGCCCTTTGTTTAGAAAGGTATCGTGCTGTTTGGGTTGGCAGCATCAGTCCCCTTCTTCCTGCCTTCTTAACCGTGCAGAGTAACATGTAAGGCTGAAGAAAGTCAGTATTAGATATTTTGACCAAAAGTTTAATAAGAACAATTTAAGTTAACAGTGACTATTGACTATAAGGCTTGATGATTATACCCAGAAACCAAGGATTTATGTTTTACTGTTTCTCCATCATCAGAATAATCAAAATATATCTATAACTTTTGAACCATAACTCTGGTAGAGCATAGCAAAATACCTTAGAGTTTATCCCTGCCGTTTCAGTACCACAATTAAACAAAGACTGCAATGCAGGCTGCTATACGTGCTTCCTAAGAGAAGCTATTTCCATGAAAGATTTCAGTGCGACTGAGTCTCACCTAGGACCTCGGGTGGCTCTGACTGGAGGCCTTCTGGCTGCTGCCCCTGCAGCACGTTAAGCAGGGCTTGGAGACTCCTGAGGCACAAGGATGGGTGAGAAAATCGTGTCTCCTTGATCAATTCAAAAACTTCACAAAGTCCAACCTCAATGATCTATTTAAGATGAAAAAAAAATTATACCTTATACCATGAAAACTAATAACACTTCCCAGGCAGTTTAATTGCTGTGGCTTACTTCCACAACAAATGATTATTGTTGGAATATTTGAAAAGCATTAACAAAAAGAAACACATTAAAAAAAAGAAGAGCCAGTATGTTTACTTCAGGATTTGGATTTGAAAAACCATCCAGTTACATGTAAGGTTAAAAAACAGTGGCACTGTTTAAAAAGTATTTTTAGCATAATGAAGCCATAATAAAATATTACGAAAATTATTTGTAACACTGAACTAAGTACTAGATTATACTTACTCAGAAAAAAAACTATTAACTTATAAAGGTCATTAAGCTGTACTCAAGCAAAAATCAGCATGCTTTTGTTAAAAGTCATGTTAATTACTACTAATACCCAGAAGAAGAAGTCAACATGGCACACAGGTGAAAAGATTAAAGTAGGAGCTTTTCATCTTTCCCTTTCCTATAAAGGCACAATCATCATATTATTATTTATAAACAGTGTTCCTTCTTCTTTTAGGATTTATCATGAAAAGAATTTAAAGCTGCCTAGCTAAAAGATCACTACTACTTGTACTTTAATTATCTTATCACTCCTCTTCAGGACCAATAAAATTTGACTCAGCATCTAGCAAAAGATAAGTCTAAAGAATGAGAGAGAAATGTGATGAACTAGTATAAGGAGATACTTTCAGAGGACTAATACAACAATAGTTAATAAAAATCTACTTCTCAAACATTGACACATATGATATTTTCAGGAGGTGTTAAATTATTCGAAAAAGTAACATAAAAAGTTAAAAGTAAGAATAATTAGTATAAATTCATCAAAGCATTAATTTTATTATACATAATAATGGAAGAATATTCTCTCTACTGAGGTATGTGCATTAATTCATATACGAGGTCTGTCCAGAAGGTATACAGCCACATAATATGGAAAATGGAGACATTTATTGAAGAAGATACAAGACACAAGAAACATTGTACATAGGACACTGGTGCCTCAGTCCCTTTCAAAGTAGGCATCTTGGGACCTCATACAGTTCTCCCAATCACCATCAACTGCCCTGTCCTGTTTTCCTGTGTCTCATCAATGGTCTGAATTCTCCTCCCTTTCAAAGGTGATTTTAGTTTTGGGAAAAGCCGGAAGTCGCAGGGTGTCACATCTGGGCTTTAGGGGGGCTGAGTCACCTGCATGATTTGATGGTTTGCCAAAAAACTCTGCACAAGATATAATGCACAAGCAGAATGTTGCTGTGATGAAGCTGCCAATCACCAGTTGCCCACAGCTGCAGCCTTCTGAATCATCTGAATAGTTTCCAGGGAGGAATGTTTAGGCTTAAGGAAAAATTTGATGCATATCCATTGCTCTACTCATTCAGTCATTTTGAATGTGATGGCCACACAGTACACGTTTACTCAAGTGCATCTACTGCCCCTGCTGAATAGCACAGTGAAGTCATCATTGTTAACACATGTGCATTCCAGTCCATTCTCCATGGCTGCCAGGTTACATTGATGTTGTGCAAACCATTCTCGTTATATTAACAATGGCTGGACTTTTTCTGGACAGACCTCATATATTACATAAACATTTCTTAAGCACTTATTTTGTACATCTTGTTACAGGAGATATGATGATATACTAGATCATGTTCTCTAAGAGTTTATAATGTAACAGAGTAAATGAGCCTTGTATATAATTCTTACCCAGTACAGACCTCTGTAATAGTATTTATTATATTACAGTGTAACTGACTATTTTGTTTTCATTTTCACAATTAACTGTGGTTTCTTATGGTCTCTTTATGGAGAGCTTGTCTTAACATTGATATCTCCCATTACTAACCTAGTACCTGGCACATAACAGATATTTGTTTAATTACTCTCAGCTGGGTACTAAAAAACACTGCAAATCAGAAATGTATTTTCCAGACAAGGATCAAATCTTACAGGCAAGTCAGTTGCAATTCTGATTACCATTTGCAAGCTTTCTGAAAAATATAAATATTACTGAGAAGTCAAAATAACTAGTAGAGCTATCTTTAAAGAAGTTATCTAACATCCTAGCAGACTTGATTACAGCTAATATCACAAAAATGCTTGTACAGAGTTTTAATTAAATGCACTAAGCAATAAAAATGTTCCATCTGATATAGTTTATTTTCCTGGAATACATCAGAAAATAAACCCATGTTGTCCAATTCTTCCATCTGCTTATATACTTGCAGGAAATAAATCTGAAGTCAAATATAAGTGCAGAACATGGGGTTCTATTCTCAGGTGAATGCGAGACTACTACACCCTATCAGTCTTTAAGATTGCTTACTCTACAACTACCAATCCTGACATTTCATTATTCAAAATAAAAGTGCTACAAAGATGACATTTTTGGCTGGGGTTTATTTATATAAGTAAGATTTCTATAGCAATAAAGTACTGAACCTTGCCAAAAACAGTAAGGCTACTTGCTGAACAAGTTTCTGAGTTGTCTCTCTGGTAAGTTTAAGTTGTAATAATAAACACATGACAACAGGCAACTCAGGTAGGCTGCCCAGGAACAGAGCACCAGCTGGTTTTTCAAAAACAGTAAGTCATGCCCAAAAACATGTTGGTCATACTGATGGTGAGAAGAGAATTACCCATCTGTCTAAGTCAACCACTGTGGATTCTCACTAATTATCTGTAGCTTAAAGTTCTGTAGATTTCTTTTTAATAAGGGAGAAAACTAATTCATTTCCAAAATAGTAACATGTATTCAATATGCAACAAAAATCACCCTCAAGTTTTCCAATCATATTTAGTTTTGAATTATTAAGCAGAGGAACAAAACATGTTGTGAAATAAGTTTTTTTCTGAGGTTTGGCTGACAGTTTTTTATCACATGTATGAACCTTAAAATTGCACTTTACACTTAGAAGCTTGTCTTATAGTCGATGAGAACATACTCTACTTCCTGCTCCCTCAATATTAGAAAGAAAAAAGTAAGCAGGGGTGTCCAACCCACAGCCCATGGGCCACATGAGGCCCAGGATGGGTATGTATGCAGCCCAACACAAAATCATAAATTCAGTTAAAACACTATGAGATTTTCTTGTTTTCATTAGTGTTTGTGTGTTTAATGTATGGCACAGAGACACCAAGAGGTCAGGCACCCCTGGATAAAATGAAAACTATATAGTACTTCAAATACAGTATGATTTCATTTGTGCAGACATATATTTTAATGTGTATATATAAAAATGTTCACAGTGGGTTTTTTCGGTTAATAGGGTTTTAAAAATAACTTCAAACTTTTAGTTCATATTTCCTCTTTATCAAAAAGTTCTGCATTTTTCAAATTATCTACAATGAATATGCACTGTTCCTATAATTAGTAAAATTAATAAATGTAACTTTTAAATGCAATAGTTCATTATAATAATCAGATAACACAATAAGGTTTGATACTTTCAATAATAAACCATAACTACCAAAGATCACGTTCTTCCACTTATCTTCAGAAAAGAATCCTTTGTACACTTACTGAATTTTATCTTTACTGTTGCTTTCAAATAATTAAATCCCGAAGGCTCTCTATTATAACTGAAAGAACACAAAATCGAAACAACTGTCTGATATGTCCAGTACAATGTCACTGCTGGGAACAGGGAGATAAAAACATACTTGGCCAAAGAAAAATGACCTATTGAGATTTTTTCAAGTTTTATTTTGCTCTCTTCAACTCATATATTTCCAAAAGTAATTTTATTATTTTACTAACAAGTGTGAACATAAAAAGTTTAATTGCATCACATTTAGATTTAATAATTCACTCTCTGCCATTAGAACAAGTTCTTGTATTAGTTCTAACATTGATACTTTCAAAATATGCTTTAAAAAGCTCAAGAGGAAAACAAACATAGACTTACATATTACTATAGAGTAAATTGCACTGTTTTTAACAATTTTTATACCAAGTAAATATTTGGTAGAGACAACCTTTACAAATAAAAAATGAATAAAAATGCAGAAAGGACAGGAGAGGCAGTCAGAATGCTACAGGTTAGGGCACGGGTCGGGAGTGGCTCAGTGTATGTTTTTGGCAGCCATTTGCAGGACATAAAGGACTGACTGACACAATAGAAAAATGGATGAGGTCTTTAGGGTTTAAGGTGCCTGGAGTTTCATAGATGTCAGAATTGAGGCACACAGAGGTCAAGTAACTTCCTCAGATTCACACAGCTAGTATTTTTAATGGTGAGTGTTTGGACCCAGGCAGTCTGACTCCACTACTAATGTTCTCAATGAGTGTACCCTTTTTCCTGATGGGTCAGTACTTGATGAAAAACTGTATTATTTGGGCTATCTGATTTTCTTTGAAAGCCCCTTTGACTCTCCATCTTTTGACACTATCTACCATACTTAAAAATGCTGCCTTAAGACCTTGGCCAGTGTGGCTCAGTTGGTTGGAGCATCGTCCCATAAACCGAAAGGCTGTGGGTTCGATCCCTGGTCAGGGCACATACCTAGGTTGAGGGTCCCATCCCCAGTCAGGGCATCTGCAGGAGGCAACCAATTGATGTTTCTTTTTCCCAAAAATGTTTCTCTCTCTCTCTCCCCCCCCCCTTTCTCTCCTCCTTTCTCTCTAAAAAGCAACGGAAAAAAAAAACGTCCTTGGGTGAGAATGAAAAACAAAATGCTGTCTTAAGAATGCCTGATACTTTATTTCTTTAATACTCAGTAAAACCAGCCTAAGAATTGGTTGTTTTCAACTGTGTAGTATCTTTTCATTTAACCAATTATTGACTCTGTTAGCACTCCAGTTATAAAGTTGCATAGAGCTCTCCCTGTCTGCTGTAGATCTATTTTTACTCCTAAGCCATGTTATTTTTAGTGCACAATCTTATGAAAAGCAAAGTATTTTAGCAATGCAAATATGTGTTATAACCCAAACACCAGTAGGTTATGTACCTAAGTGAATTTTAGTGACTTACCTTTGGAAGCTTGATAGGGGGTTCTTTGGATTCTTCCTCTTCATCACTATCTGACTCCCCACTCTGCACAGAGTTCTTTGATGCAGCTGCCAAGGATATTTCCTTTTTCTGCCATTCCAGAACACAATGACGTACATTGCAATAAATATTAAATGCAGAAGGATTGCTATGTAGTTTGATATCTGGTATGATTACTGTATTTTCCAAGTTTTCAAACTGAAAAACAAGATAAAATATTTCAATTTCATATTCCTTTCCATCATCAATTCTCATTTTAAATAAAAAATGTAAGATTAGAATTAGACATGCTAGATGACTTGCAGAAGCCACATAATTCGCAGAGCAAAGGCCATGTCAGTCTTCTGATTCAACTTACAGCACCCTCTCTATTGTACCATACTTTGCCGCTTTCTGAGTAACAGCAATAACCAATCTGACGAGGGCTGGAAAGGAGCAGGCAGAGAAGTGAACAAAAATACCCTTTTACCCCATGACAGGAATGGAGCCGACACAGCTTAACTGATACAGTATCAAACGATATTAATTTGGGGCTTTCCGAAGGGATACCAAAATGTATTGTTGAGTCTTCTACAAATGTTGAATTACACTCTGATTTCTTTGAAAAATAGACAAAAGGATTTAAACATCTACCAGAGCTAAAAAGAAAACCCTTAATTTTAGCCAATTCTTTGAATTTCATTCTCATTCAAATAATGGTAATGCTAAGAAAATTGCAGATTATGAACATAGGCATTCCTCAACTTCTTTCTTAGCTATCAGTCTTGGTAAATACTAAAAATCATATGCTTAGGAACTTAATTGTTAAAACTAAGTAATGTTTGTCTTGTCCCAGCATTTTATTCATCAGACAACAACACTTTTATATAAATATTTAAATTATAAATTTACAGAACTCTTTTAAGATATTCTACAAATCCAAATTCCAACAATTAGTATATCTCAAGGATTATCCAAGAAAAATAAAATGACACTTCAAGTACCGAAAACACGACATGGTCTCAAAAAATTCTACCCTTCTTCCATCAATAACTAGGAAAAAACAGAATACTCTTTATTACATAAAAAATGTACTAAAGTTACTTTACATATAATATGTGACTATGTCCTCTAGAGATATTTTTTTAAAAAGTAAATATTAGTAAAAATTTATAAAAGTAAATCCAATCCAACAATATATAAAAAGATAACTGATCATAATCAAACCAAAAACAAGGCTGGCTCAACATTGGAAAAGCAGTGTAGTTTCTCCATATCAACAAAAATAAGATAAAAACACATTAAGATATTGTAAATAAAGACAGAAAAGGCATCTGACACAAATCAAATACCCATTCATGATAAAAAGTCTAAGTAATTAGAAACAATTTCTAAAACTTGATAAAGGGTATCTATGAAATACTAAAGCTAACAAAAGTAAAAAACAATGCTTACCAGTTAAGACTACAAACAAGGCAAAGATATCTATTCTAAGCAATTTAACATTGTACTAGACAGGCCAGTGCAACAAGCCAAGAAAAAGAAATAAAAAGTACAGTTAGAAAGAAAGAATCTACAAAACAAATTCCTTTATTTGCACAACATGTAAAGAATCTTAGAAAGTCTGCAAAAAAAAAAAAGGATACCAGTGTTATAGATAAAAAGGAGTAATATATTGTGTTAGCCAAAAAGTCCACTTAGTTTTTTCCATAAAATATAAGACACATCTTCATTTTCATCAATAACTTTATTGACGTGGTTACTTTGAGTATATCCACTACCTCCTGCTATTGGCTTCCAGAGGGTAGAGGCCAGGGGTGCTGCTCAACATCTTCCAATGCATAAAACAGGCCCACAGTAAAGAATTATTTGGCCAAAATGTCATGAGTACCAAGAAACTTTGCAAACCACTTTTGACACATTCGATCAGTCACAATCTCCTTCTTCATACACTTCACAAATCTTTTTTTGCATTCCAGGTGCACTTTTACCTTTCTTGAAATAACAAAGCATAATACACTAAAAACTTAAGTTTGATGCAGTCCCATTTGTTTATATTTTCTTTTTTCCCCCTTGCCTGGGGAAATATATCCAATAAAAAATTTCTACAAGTAATATCCAAGATTTTGCTGCTTATGTTTTCTTCTAGGGTTTTTATCATTTCAGGTCTAACATTTAAGTCTTTGATCCATTCTGAATTTATTCTTGTGTATGGTGTAAGAAGGTGGTCTAGTTTTATTTTTCCGCATGTATCTGTCCAATTCTCCCAACACCTTTTGTTATATAAACTCTCTTTAGCCCACTGTATGTGCATGCTTTATCAAACATTAATTGACTATAAGGGTGTAGGCTTTCTGAGCTCTCTATTCTGTCCCATTGATATACCATATTTTTCACACTATAAGACACACACCCCCAAATTTGGGAGGAATGATGGTTGTTAATGCTGCTGTTGAGTTCTGTTTACATTTACATTGGTGAAATATTATGTTATTTATGTTATTAAATAATTTACCACATTTTTTGCTTCAAAATTCTTTTTCCTATTTTCCTCCTCTAACACTTAGGTGCATCTTATGGTCCAAAAATATGGTATGTGTCTGTTTTTATGCCAGTGCCATGCTGTTTTGACCATCAACAAAATAAAAAGGCAACCCATAGAATGGGAGAACATATTTGCCGATACATCTGATAAGGGGTTACTATCCAAAATGTATAAAGTAGTTCCAAAGAAAACAAAATAAAAAAACAAAGGAAAAATGGGCAAAGGACCTGAATAGACACTCCTCCAAAGAGGACATATAGATGGCCAATAGACATATGAAAAGATGTTCAATGTCACTTATCATCAGAGAAATGCAAATTAAAACCACAATGAGATATCTCACACCAGTCAGAATGGCTATCATCAATAAATCAACAAACAACAAGTGCTGGCCAGGATGTGGACAAAAGAGAACCCTTGGGCACTACTGGTGGGAATGCAGACTGGTGCAGACTGGCGCAGCCATTGTGGAAAGCAGTATAGAGATACCTCAAAAAATTAAAAATGGATCTGCCTTTTGACCCAGCAATCCCACTTCTGGGAATATATATGAAAGATCCTAAAACACAAAAGAAACAAAGCACCCCTATGTTCATTGTAGCATTATTTACAATCACCAAGATACAGAAGCAGCTTAAGTGTCTATCAATAAGTGAGTGGATAAAACAACTATGGGATATTTATACAATGGAATTCTACTCAGCCGTAAAAAAGAAAAGTTTACCCTTTGCAACAGTATGGATGGACCTGGAGAACATTATGCTAAGTGAACTAAGCCAGTCACAGAAAGGCAAATACCATATGATTTCACTCATATGTGGAATCTAATGAACAAACTGAACTAAAAAGCAAAACAGAGACAGGCTCATAGATGGAAAGTAAATGAAAGCTACTGTAGGAGTTTTAGGGGGCGGAAGGATTGAGCAAAAAGGAAAAAGGACTCATGGACACAGACAACAGTGTGGTGATTGCTGGGGGGAAAGGAGTTAAGGGGACCTACTGGCAATGGAAAAAATATAATAAAGATTAAATAAAAAATAAAATCATGATATGATGATTTTAAAAAAGCATAATATGTCAAAAATGTTGCATATCTTCTTCCACATTCAATATTTAAATAGCTGCACAAAAATTTACCAATTGTTTAAGTATTTTTAAAATGCTGTTATGACAGCTGTCACAATACAATCTAACAAAATTGTTTTCAATGAAGTTAAAGACAACTAAGTGCTACTAGCGCTGCAGAATGGAAAAAACTAAACAAACTTTTCGGCCAACCCACTATCTATATATACTAGAAGTGAACAGTTGAAAATATAATTTTAAAAATAATAGCATTAAAGTTAGAGTCTGGAAGAAAATGTCTGCAAGTCACTAATCTGGCAAAGGACTAGCATCTAGAATATACAAAAAAAATTTCACAGCTCAGTGGTAAAAAACAAACAAGTAATCCAGTTAAAAAATGGTCAAAAGTCATTAACAGACATGTCACTGAAGAAGATATACAGAAGTCAAATAAGCACATGAAAAAAGATTCAATATCACAAATCATTAGGAAAACGTAAATTAAAACAAAATGAGGATATATATAAGTGTATATATAGTTATATGTATATATCTTACATACCTATCAGATTGGTTAGAATAAAAAATAGTGACACCAAATGCTGGTGAGACTGTGAAGAAATTGGATCTCTCATACATTACTGATAGGAATGTAAAATGATACAGCCACTCTGGAAAAAAGTATGGCAGTTTCTTACAAAATTAAACATGTGCTTACAGTACTATACAACAACTGCATTCTTGGGCACTTATACCAGAGAAGTGAAAACTTATGTCATACAGAAACCAACACATGAATATTCACAGCAGCTTTATTCGAAGTAACCAAAAGCTGGAAACAACTGAGATGTTCTTTAGGGGCTGAATGGTTAAACAAATTGGTATATCCATACCAAAGAATGTTTATTCAGCAAAAAAAAGAGAAGGGTACAAACTATTGCTATTTGTACCGATGTGGACGAATCTCAAGGAATTGTGCTGCGTGGAAAAAAGCCAACCTCTGAAGTTGCATACTGCATGATTTCAGGATGGAGAACAGCGTGGTGGCTGCCAGAGGCCCGGGCAGGGGAGGGTGGAGGACGTCTTGGCTACAGGAGTGGCACAGAGGATCCTGGTGATGGATGGGACTGTTCTATATACTGACTGTCAGAGTGGTCACACAGACCCATGTATGATAAAACTGCACAGAACTACACATACACACATATAAACAAGTACACGTAAAGTAAAACTGGTGAAATCTGAATAAGATCAGTAGGTTCGATCCTGGTTGTGATGTTCTATGTGATATACTGTGTGTTTACTATGGAAGGCCTCACTAATGAGAGAAAATGTGTGATGGGTAAGTCAAGACTTTTCTGTATTATTTTAACAACTGCATTCACATAGCAATCATCTCAAAATTTAAAACAAACAATTTTAAAATAACAGCATTTATAAAATCAAAAACATAAAATAATTACAGTTAAATTTAGTAAAATTATCCACTGAAAACCAAAATAATGCTGCTGAGAAAAATTAGAGACAAATAAATGGGGAGACAAATCATGTTCATTGATAGAAGATTCAGTTTCAGTAAAATGGACATTATTCCTCAAATCTATAGATT